CGGGTGCTATGGCTCACGAGGTAGACGTGAACAACGAACCACTACCAGCCATGACATTTAACACTCGCGGCATACCCAGCCTCGAAGAGACCGACGTCTACCTTTACCCTGCTGGCATGAACGCCATCTTCAATGCTCATCGTGCGCTGCTCCATGCGAGAGAGCCGGCCGAGAGCATCAATTTTGGTTTCCCTTATGTCGACACGCTCAAGATCCTCCAAAAGTTTGGTCCTGGCTGTCTCTTCTATGGACATGCATCACCTGAAGACCTTGATAACCTGGAGGTACGATTGAAAAAGGGTGAGCGGTACCTAGGCCTCTTCTGCGAGTTCCCTGGAAACCCCCTTTTGACATGTCCTGACCTTACTCGTATCCGCAAACTTGCCGATGAGTACGATTTTGCTGTTGTAATTGATGAAACAATTGGCACATTTGCCAACATCAACGTCCTCCCCGTTGCAGACATTGTTGTCAGCAGCTTAACCAAGATTTTCTCTGGCGATTCTAATGTTATGGGCGGAGGCCTTGTCCTCAATCCTGACAGCAAGTATTACCGAGCGCTCAAGGCAGCCATGGGAGAAATATACGAGGATAATTACTGGCCTGAGGATGTTGTCTTCATGGAAAGGAACAGCCGCGATTACGAATCTCGTGTGGTACGCATCAACGCGAACTCCGATGCTATTTGTGAGGTGCTACGGAACCATCCCCTTGTGAAGCGAATCTACTATCCCAAATCCAATGATTCCAGAGAACACTATGAAAAGGTCCGGCTTCCTGACGGAGGATATGGCGGTCTACTATCTGTTGTGTTCCAACGCAAGGAGTGCGCTCAGGCGTTCTTTGACGCCTTGCCACTAGCCAAGGGGCCGAGTTTGGGAACCAACTTCACACTGGTATCGCCGTATGTTCTCCTGGCACACTATCAAGAGTTGGAATGGGCAGAGTCATTTGGTGTCGACCCGTATCTTATTCGTGTCAGCGTTGGACTTGAAGACACGACTGAGCTTAGTGACATATTCACAGACGCCCTGAAGGCGGCCGAAGCTGTGTCAGCTACAAGCTGATGATGAATAAATACCAAAGGCGCTGTTCCGCTTTGGACATGTTATGTCTATATAGAGAGTTGAGGCTATTCGCCGTTATGCATGGTGTGGTGTCTACTGCTTGAGTTCAGAGAATCTGGTCGACCAAATTCATGGTATATTCTAAACAGAGACAATAAAAACCTCACCTAGACTCTTCATGTTGTTAATTGCAAAGTCTATACTAATTATAATCGCTCAAGTATGTTGTGGTAGTCATGGTAGTCGTGTCATGTCGTGTCGTGTACCAGAGCTCTAGACAGCTCACATTATGCAACATTCCTGGTGGACATAGCCAGGCCCGTAATCCTCAATTCCCCGCTCGATCTCATTTGCCCTCTCTTTCTCTTTTACTTCTTTTGTAAAATACTTCTTCATGTACTTTTGAAGTTCATAGTCAAGGTTCATGGCAGAAGCCTTCAAAACGACGTCTGCTCTACACAGCGGGCAATGCTTCTCCTTTCGACGCTGGATCTTGATAACGCAGCGAATGCAAAAAACATGCTGGCAGTCTAAGCGGACCGGCATATATGCCACCGAAAAACAGACTGGGCAAAGGTAATCATTGAGCTGGGGAACTTTGGAGACAAGCTCTTGCGACATTTGTGCGCAGACGTCCCGAGCGATAGTGCCTGCTAGAAGCTTGTCGGAGTGCACAACAGTAGGAAACTTCCTCGCGACACCCAATGCCGTCCGTTTGTCGAATTCTTGTAGAGAGTCAGTAAGATAATCGTAAAGTAACAAGCATTCGCTTACTCTTGAGAATTTTGGTAACAGCTGTCTTGTTGAGCTCTTGGAATTGCATGTTCTTGAGAAGAGACGCATTCAAGTTGATGAAGCGGGTGAAGGCCGCCTTGCTCTCGGGAAGCTTGAAATCCTGGACCAGATTCTGCTTGGTCACCTGGTCCTGAAACCATTGCAGCTGCTTCAGGGCCTTTTGGCTTGTGCGTTGTCCATGATCTTGCTCGTGCGTAGCAAAGAAAATTTCAGCGTCCAGGTAAAGCTCGAAGATTTGTCGCCAGCGCGCCAGGTCGGTCTTGGAGAAACGCTTCGGCTTTACCACTTGTTCAACTTCCTTTCCGAGTGCAACGATCTCCAAAGTCATGGTCTTCTCTTCCTCTGTTTGTAGAGCATCCAGATGGTTCACATCGCTCTGAAGCATTTCGAAAAACTCGGCGTCGAAAGTGAGAGGAACTTCGATGATTTCGTAGATTCCCGTGGTCGCATCGTCCGGGGATGAAATGGGCGTGGTTTCGCCAGAGACATCATTTGGGGTCGCTGCGGAAGTTTTTTGCTGATCAGCATCGGTTGCTACTTTTTCGACGACGTTGACCTTCTCGTCGGCCAGGGTGACTGCAAGCGTCTCGTTGGCTTGTTCAGTGAGCGCATCGATTATTTCGGCGGAGGGTGTAACGGCAGTCTCAGCAACGGTGTCGGATGATGCGGCGTCCTTGACAGCGTCGACGGTTCGCGCTTGGGCAGTATGTCCCGTGTGCGACCACTGGTTTTGGGGCAAATTAATGGCAATCTTATTAAGAAAGTCGCGCGAATTTGGTGCAAGCGAAGCATCGATGGGGACACCATCCTGTAGATGGACCTGGACGGTAAGCTTTGGGCGCAGGTGAGAATCGGTACCGTCTGTGGAAAGTCAGTTTTGATGGAGGGAGGGAAGGAGGGGGAAACCGTTGGGAGTACTGGGTTCATACCGTTGAGCTTATACTTCAAGGCCACAGGAGACGTTGCGTCGGGGTTCAGAAGTTCGCGCAACGTCTCAGGATCAAGTCCAAGCTCATGCAGCTCACGGGCGACTTTCTTGAGACATTTCTTAAGTTGACTATAGGGAATTGCATGATCAACCCAATGGGCAGGAAAATCTGGGCGCTGTGTATTAGAAGAAAAATGTGCCTACTAATTTAGAAGGGAGTCTGAACGTGAATCATTATGTTCAGACCCATCATGGTTTAGACAAACCTTGGGCTCGAAGAGTTTCCTTAAAATCGTGACCAAACTTCATGGCTACCGAACTGATGCTGCACCGAATTCCAAATCTATTCGCATGAGGCACGCGACCAGTTGTAGTATTGGGCGGCAGTTGGTGGCAAAAGATTTGGAACAGGGGAGCTGGAGATGCAGCGCAGTAACAACAAAGAGGTACTAGTTCAAAAGCTTCAAGCAGAACCGAAAGATTGTATTTTGCATAAAATGAAGAAAAAGAGGAGGAGGAGGAGAGTGAGGGTGAAGAAGACGAAGAAAATGGTGGGAATGAATGGTTAAAGAATCAAGTCATGAACTTGCGCCGCGTGAATGGGCTTGAATTGGATCTGGGTCTGGATCTGGGTCTGGGTCTGCACATGAAGATGAACATGAGGAGCGGTTTCTAAAGTTAGGTCTTGGGTATCGATTATTGACTGACCTCGTGGGTGGAAAAGATATCTAGAAGCCCAAGTAGGCAAGCCAGGGTATGTACTTTACTCGATTCAGTCTCGCCCATGTAAATGAACATCGCTAACCCAGTTACTCCATGCAACACCAACCGGTTTCGGGTACCTCTAGAGGTAGGTAGGTACTAAGTTTTATCTTTCGTTTGTTTGGTGGTTTTTTTTTTCTTCTTTTTTTTCCTTTCTACCTCACAAAACTCACCCAAGTCATGATGCATGCGCCTGAGTGGATTCTCGGCAATCTCTTGCCGGCAAATAACAAAATAGAGAGAGGCATCTAAAAGCATGAATCAAACAAGAGCATAAAGACCCAGCTTGTCAATCCATTTTCGCTGACCGAGCCGGCATTCACAATAGTATGAATCGAGACCCATCATTTTTTCCCTCTCTCTTTTCAATTTCCTACATTTTGATGGGGTTTGCTTTACATCATCAAGGATAGTGATTGGTCCATGACATGGATCAAAAAGTGGTCAGATGATTGCTTTCAGCACGTTTGCCAGTCAAGCAGGTCATGAATTGTTCAATGAACCAGCCAACATATATAGAATATTTAATGTATATTTTAAAGTAATCTGTATTGTCGAAAGAACTCACAAACTCTGTCTGTGCTCGATTTGGTTTGCTGATCCTCCCCAATGCAACTGATTTGTTCTATTCAGCCTCGTGGGCGACATAAGCTTCGTTATTGGAGCAGGCAAGTTCTTTAGCCGTGAAACATCAATTAATTATGATTAGCCTCATTCATCGAGCCGACTGCAATCACACAATGCATCTGAAGGGAACTGCTGTCGATCATAAATATCAGGGTAACATTTTTAGGTGAGAAACAGGCATAGTAGAAAAATACATACCTTAGTAGTATATGCTAGGTACCTTAGTACACATGTGAACAAGAGTTCATTAGAGTCTGACTGGGTAACATGTTAAGAAGAAACAGCGACAGAACTAACTAAAGAGCTGGCCATAGTGAATAATTTAACCTTATTAATAGAACTTCCTTAACCAATATTGCAAACAGCAACTAGATAGACGTCAGCGTCGTAACAATATCGGTCAACGTATGAGTAACAAGGTCCTGTTTTGAACTTGGCACCTCCTAATAAAGCAAGCTTGGATGACTCTTTGTGAATCATTCGGCATGCAGATATGATACCCGCCCGAATGCAGCGAATGAGCTTACATGCTTCTCCAAATTCTAGAAGGAAAAAAACATCAGAAACCCATCAAATAGCGGAGATAAACCGTACGGGGATAAATTTATACAAAATACCTGCATAAATTGTCCACTGCTGATTTTGCCCCGCGATACCCCTCCATCTTTCACTTAACCGACCTCGCAACACTCTAAAAGCGACCATTATAGATAAATAAACCACTGCCACTCTAAACTTTTTTCTCCACGCTGTCCAACAACACCAATCTACCTGGCTATAGCATATTTTTTCAAAGGTCCCGCGTTGCTTACCAAGTAGCCATGGGTGCCCAACAATCTTCCGAGAACTCAAATGCTGGTGGTTCTACTCCTGTTGCAAAGACATGTTACTACGAACTGTTAAACGTCGAGCGTTCAGCAACAGATGAAGAGTGGCTCTCCAAAATGATTTTTTTTCTGTCTCTTCTCACTAACGACTATCACACAGGATTAAGCGAGCTTACCGCCGAAAAGCTCTCGAGCTTCATCCTGATCGTAACTACAACGATGTCGAAAATGCCACACGCCGCTTTGCCGAAGTCCAAACCGCCTACGAGATCCTGTCCGACCCTCAGGAGAGAGCATGGTATGACTCACACCGAGACGCCATCCTGAGCGGAAAAGATGCCGACGAGGACGGCGGGAACCCCACTACCTTCCGAAATGTGCGACTTACATCGGCCGAGGAGATTATGGGCTTGATACGCAAGTTCAACGCTGCTGTGTCTTTCGACGATGAACCAACGGGCTTCTATGGGATTTGCAGAGAGACTTTTGAGCATTTAGCATTGGAGGAAGAGGTTGCTGCAGACAACGACGACCTCAACTTACGAGACTACCCGACTTTTGGTTCTTCCGACGATGACTACGAGGATGTAGTCAGGCCTTTCTACAACGCATGGGCTGGCTTCTCAACAGTCAAGTCGTTTGGTTGGAAAGATAAGTACCGTCTTTCTGAGGCCCCTGATCGCCGCGTACGCCGCCTGATGGAGAAGGAGAACAAGAAGATGCGTGACGATGCTATACGAGAGTTCAACGACGCTGTCAACTTCCTGGTGGGCTTTGTGCGCAAAAGAGACCCCAGATACCTACCAAACTCTCAGACTCATGACGAGCGCCAAGCTTCGTTGCGCAACGCTGCTGCTGCTCAGGCCGCTCGGTCGCGCGCAGCGAATCAAGAGCGCATGTCTGCCTTTGAGATCCCTGATTGGGCCCAGGCCCGATCTGACGACAATGGAGCGGAGGGTGGTTTCTCGGAGTCTGAGGAGGAGTCCGAGGTCGAGATTTTGGAATGTGTCGTGTGCAACAAGACTTTTAAGAGCGAGAAGCAGCTTGAGGCACACGAGAAGAGCAAGAAACATACCAAGGCAGTTCAGCAATTGCGACGACAGATGAAGCGCGAAGGTACTGAGTTGCAGCTTGACGAGGTATCACCTTCGAGTCAAGAGACCGCCAACCAGGACGATCAGGAAGAAGATACAACGTCCAGAAAGTACAAGGAGAAGAAGGAGAGGGGCTCAGTTAGCACAATTCCTGTCGAACAAGATGTGCCTTCTTTCAACAACGAATCGCAGGAGGAAATGCTTGCACATTCCGTGGACGCTTCGGATGACCCTGACTATGCACCAAGAGACGTTGTCGAGGAGAGAATAACTAACACCAGCAAACACAAATCGGATAACAACATGACCAATGAAGATGAACTATCTGCATCTGTTCATAGTCTATCTGTTGACGAGCCCGCGCAAGGCAAAAAGGTTGGAAAAGCGAAAGCAAAGCGTGCCAAGAAGGCTGCAGCTGCACAAACACAGCAGGAAATTTCAGTACGTTGATTTCGCTGCGAATTAATTGTTGTATACTGAGAAAGATGAAAGCCACAGTGTGGATCTTGTGGGGAGTCGTTCACTTCCAGGTCAAAGCTGTTCGCGCATATCCGTGATGAGGGACACGCCGCACTAAAACCAGCGACTGGGGGCAGCGGGAAGAAGAAACGATAAACACCTTGGGTTATATGCCACGTTATCACCTACCGCACAGATGCGACTGTAACATCATCATCTCAACACACTGCTAGCCGACGAAATATGCCAGGCCAGCTCCACGTATCAATGGCAAAACGAGCTGTCACAAGGAAATTCGTTCAGTTCAATTTCATCGTCTATCTCGAATAATGCCCATGCCCACCTATTACCTCAGGAAAACATACCAAAACGCCGGGCCCTAAGCCCAAACCTATGCCTCATGAATGGTATCCGTATCATCATCGCTCAACGTTTCAACTTCATCAATGGCGCTTTGTCGGCCCTCACTTGAGCCTCCAAGGACTGCGTTTCGGTCTGTTATATGTATAATTGACTTGCCTTGCACATGCTTGACATTTCGCTTCAGTTCTTGCCAGTCAGCCTCGTTTTGGATCAAGAAGCCGATCAGCATGCTGGGATCCATCTCACGGACATGGACACGGCGCAGCCGAGAGGTATGACATGATGCGATTTCTTCACTGGTGTATTCGGCGGGGTCTTCGTGATATGGAAGGGCTGTTCTTGTATGATGAGGATCAAGATAAAAAAGGAAAGATCCTTGCGCGCCTATAAAGTAGTGGGACGATGATGGACGACCACTGCATATGGTCAGTATGTTGAAGATGCGGGTGATGTATTGATAGTACTTGCCCTGCGATTCCTACAGATTGCGGCATCTGCAGGGCTGCGATAAGAGCTTCCCAATACACAGGTGTGATTTTGTCGATTCCTAGCCGAGTTCCTACTAACACAAGCGTGGGATGGAAGTCTTCGCCTGGCGGCTTCGCAATCTTCATAAATTCGTCCTCGTACACATCAGGTCCGTCACCAGTTGAGTATACTCTGATTGAGGACTCATGGGAGTTTGTCAGTGCTCTACAATACGTGTCAGAGGAACTTTGACGGTTTTGACGCATATGTGTTCACGTACTGTATACAACGGGCAGTCGCTGATGGCCCAAACCATTCGCCAGGGTATTTGCCACAAGCACTGGCGCCGTGTCGAACGAAGCTATGAATCGAGTAGGGAGCTCTAGGGTCATCGGCGAAGTCTTTAAGTAGGCGGCATTCCTCTTCTACTGATTCTCCCCGGCGCCAGTCTCCTAGATGTTAGAAGCGTGATGGAACTGACATGAGTACTCAGACTTACCTCTGCCTATGCGGACCATGGCTATGGCATTTGCGAGCAAACTTTGTCCTGAACGAATCATACATCCCCACCCACTGTCCGAAGAAAATGGACTTTGGTCGCCGAGTTGACTCTTGAGTCTCATGGACAATGAAAGTGCGGATGTTGCTTGTGGGTTGGTGGATCGGGGAATGGGCTCGAACTCGGATCGGTACGTCATCCATATCTTGGATTCGAAATCGCTTATAAACCCAGTTGGCCATCCCCCGTCGTCCACTGGGTCGTCGTATGCCAGTGATGAAGAGAAGCTACTCGATATCGAGTCCGGAGGTGTGTCGGGTGCATTTGTTGGCGGGTTTGGCGGTTGAGCTGTATCGTGAGCTTGTTGGATTTCTGCTTCAGCCTTCAGTACTGGTGGAGGTGTCTGTGGATGGTGGTCATCGGCCTTGGTATTCTTCTTGCCGTTGAGCCGATAGGAGCGTCCCAAACACCAGACTGGTTGGTCGTGAACGACATCGTTGGTGGGCTCTGGGTCCCAGAATATTTGCACAATTCGCCGATAAGGTGCTAGGTCAACGTTGGCCATGACCCTTTGCATTCCGTTATAATGTAATATGTATAATTGCGGTATCAAACTATCTCTGCGTTGAAATGCAGAATAACAACTGTGCTTGTTAAGAACCTAGTAAGTAAGCAGGACAGCTTCCATGATGTTGAAAGGCAGCAGGCAAGGCAGATGGGCAACGGGGTCCTGCTCTAGTAGCAGCCCAGTGGGGAGTCAGCTGGGGCCGGTGGGCAGCGGGGACCAGTCACTTGTGACTCCTGTCTGGAGGGCGACTAGTAGGTGAGAGCGTCTAAGGTGGATTTTACAATTAGAGTGGGTCTATTACGCACGCGATGGAGTGTGTGCACGGGCCATTTGCGACACGCCTTGATGTCCGGATCTCGGTATGAGATGAAAAACTGAGCTCGTGTGTATACAGTCACCAGGTATAAAAATCGCTTGTTCGTGATGTTATTGCGCTTTTCGTAGGTGTTTACGCGTGTGGAGGCGCGTATATTAAGTGCATCGTCGTTACTAGTGCGGATGCTATAACACTGGAATAATTGGGGAAGGCCAGCTTAACTTCATTCATACAATGGGTTGAGCTGGGAAAGAAAACAGCATAAAAACGACAAACAGCAATGTATGCAGTACATGAGCCCAGAAAACCATTAAAAAGCATACCTGTAATATATGAAAGTATATAAAAGCTTAACAGACACCTATCAGGTAGATTTGAATTAATGTGACTTGTAAATTTCGAATATTTTTATACTGAAGCTGTATAACTTTATCCTACCCTATACTACAAAATACCTTAGTACCTCTATCAATCATGGTGATCCAGAGTACGTACTGTACCGTACCTGCTTGTTGATTCCTGCCCATCTCAAACACTAGACCGCCCCATCTGGAACGCCACTACGACATTGGATCTCAGACTTCCATGACACTTATCGATAGAATCCGGAACACCGCCCAATCTCTTCCGAGCCAATCGACAGACCAGCAATATTGATAGTCTACGGCGGGGTGACTCGTTTGTTTGCCATCAACAAATTTCTGTACTACGACGCTTTTCCACCAAGGAGCTTAAATTTTAAGGCGCTCAACCCACCCATATATTAACCACCCGTTCGCCCTGTTGACACGAACGCACACTATGAAGGCTGCCTTATCCTAACATAACCATGGCGAGAAACAAGAAAGGACCTCCAGCGCCCCGTGGCGCAAAGAACGACAGAGGCGGACGAGGAGCTCGTGGGGGGAGAGGATCCTTTCGTGGTCGTGGGAGTTATTTTTCAACATCGCCACAAGTCAATTTTATTCGAGACGAAACTGGTAAGAGTTACTGAGATGTTGGAACAGGCAGCGTAAAATCTACGGTTCCGTGCAGAGTTAACACATTCTAGTTGGATTTACACTCGCCGACGAAGCCCGCCAGACCTCCCAACATGATCACTCCGCATGGGGAAACTCTAGCCTGCGGTCGCGACCAGTAACATTCGTAAGCGCTGGCCCTAGTGAACCACTGAAGTTGCTTGATGAGATTATGGATGGAGCGAACGACGAGTCGGGAATCGTGGGGGTAAATGAAGAAACACAGGACGATGAACCATACATGAACCAGGAGGACCTCAAAGAAAGTGACGAGGATGGAATTATAGGACCGGATGACCTTGAGGAAGCCATCCAAGGAAGGACTACCTTGAAAGATGACACACCAGATGCGCCGTGTTTCTTCTTCGATCTGAAAGGAGATCAGACACAAGAGAACCAGGCCAAACTGACGGTTCAGATACCTGAACGACCCTCTTCAAGAAGCAGCACCTCCAGTGACGAGGTCATACTTTTCAAGGGCCGAGGCGCCCTAAGAAAGCCCGAACACATGTCTAATATCGACATGGTGCAGATGCAAACAGAAATTCGTGTCGTCGAACAAGCTATCACCAACGAGCCTGCACGATCGGAGCCATCCCTAGTACCCGAGCTACCTACGGAACGAGTGCGAAATAGTAAATCGACAAAGAACGAAAAGAAGCAGAAGCAGCGTGACAAGCGCAAAGAGATCGATCGCGTGAAGGCAGAAGAGGATGCTATCTTTGCAGACTATATTGCAAACTTGAAAGAAAACAGCGATGTGGATGAGTATTTCAAAGAACTTGTACAGGGTGAAATAGATTCTGATGCTAGTGAACTGTCCGACACCAACTGTCAGCAGCAAGCCTCCACCACACATGCGTACGCCACAGACGGAGATCAATCAGATGAAGAGCTGGAGCACAAATCCGACGCCAACGATGGAGATGACCCTCCAAGTGAGATCGATGACGAGACGCTGGCGCAGTTGATTGCTGGCCACGGGTTAGGCTATGACTTGGGGATGGAGGACGTCAATTTTGGAGACTCTCTTAGTGATTCAGACTCCGACGGTGAAGAGCCCGCCAGGAAGCCAACACAGCGGCAAATGTTCGTCGATGACTTCGACATGATGGATTGGGATCGACCAAGCCTGCGTTCCCGTAAGGGCAAAGGCGCAAGAGCTCAGATCAACTTCAATCTATCCGATTCTGAGTTAGAAGCAACACTCCAGACGAACTGGAAGAACGACAGGCTTAAGAAATCGGAGCGTAAGAGACAGAGAGAGGAGATGCGCGCACTTGGCATGCTGGGAAAGAAAACGAACCCTGATGATCTACGCATCAAATACCCAGATGGAATGAATATGGACCAAGTTGGAGATGAGATGCGGTCATTCATGATCAGTGGTGATGAACAGTAAGGTCCTTCCTCTACAACTCAAAGTGGCATGTTTGACTCACACACTTCTAGGCTCACCTTGCCCCCAATGGATAACCATGCCCGCAAAATAATACACGACCTGGCGAATAAGTTCAAGATTAAATCCAAATCGATAGGAAAAGGTGATCAACGACGACCTACACTATATCGAACAGGACGTACGCTTCCGTATGTCGAAGCAACGTTTAACCACGCCTTTAATCGTGTGAATCGGAAATATCTCCCTCGACTTGACAAGGGTAGGAAAGGCAAACGACTACCTCCCGTTCGCAGCGGTGCTTCTGTCGCAGCTGCCACATATCAAGATGGCGAGGTCGTTGGCGGTTCGGCGCCTGAACTGGGCATTGAGAATCGTGGAAGAGCCATGTTGGAGAAGATGGGATGGAGTATGGGAACGGCATTAGGCGCGTCGGACAACAAAGGAATCATGCAACCTGTTACGCAGACTATGAAGCGAACCAAGGCTGGTCTGGGTTAGATGTATGAGTTAGGGTAATCGGAATCCACTGTGACTGCAAGAGATTGTGGATTTACATTAAGGAATGGGATACACAATAGAAAGATGACAGAAAGCTAATGTGCACGAATTCATTTGATCGAGACCCTATTCTCGATGTTTATTGTACAACCGCGAACCCCGTTGCCCGTGTGTGAAGACATTGCCCCCAGGATAAAAAAAAAACAAAACCATCCGTAACGCATTATGAGGCCCCCAAAAACAGGGCTGGATCCCCGTGAAACCTCAGATTCATGACACCCTGATGCCACGCGTGAAAAACTAAATGCCCAAAACAAATCAAGCTATCAAACCACCTATTTCGTCGAGGAAGAGTACTTGGTAACGGCCTTGGTACCCTCAGAGACAGCGTGCTTGGCAAGCTCACCGGGGAGGATGAGGCGGACAGAGGTCTGGATCTCTCGGGAGGAGATGGTGGACTTCTTGTTGTAGGCGGCAAGCTTGGAAGCCTCAGAAGCGACACGCTCGAAGATGTCTGAACCAAGAGTTAGAATTATTAGACTAAGAAGACAAAAAGACATACCGTTGACGAAGGAGTTCAGGATGGACATGGCGCGGTTGGAGATACCAGTGTCGGGATGGACCTGCTTGAGGACTAGGAATGCAAGTTAGCACGACGCGTTCTGATGCGACATAGGATAAAGCGCGATTGAAACTCACCCTTGTAGATGTAAGAAGAGTAAGTCTCCTTGCGGGTCTTGGAGCGCTTCTTCTTGTCGCCAGAAGCGGCGGTCTTCTTGCCGGCGTCCTTCTTCTCAGGAGCCTTGGAGGCAGTAGCAGCGGGAGCCTTGGAGGCGGGCTTCTTGTCAGCAGCCTTGGGAGCCATTTCGAAAGATTTGAGAGTTGGTGAAAAGTGTAGTTGATTGATTCGGTTGAGTTAGAACTCGTGCGTTGGTCAAGTTGCTGGAAGGCGAGAAGATGCTGTTGTGAGATGGAAGTTGATGGCGAAACAAGAGGATCGGGGGGTGGGTTGGGTTTTTGTAGCTGGGCGCGTGTCGTAGTTAGCGGGTTACTGATTGCCTGGGGGGCGTGCGCACGCGTGGTTGTACTTAGCGGCTGGTGGAGGTGATCTGGGCTGGGCTGCTGGGGAGGGACATGCCAGCCCCTCTTTTCCGTTGCTGGTGGTGAAATAAAAAATGGATGATGGTTCTTTTTTTTCATTGGCCACTTACCTTCTGTAATCTTCAAAAGAGTGGCCCCAACGTACATACATCTTTTCCATCATCTTTTGATGCATGCAACCAAGCAAGCATCTGATTTTCGCGTCAAGCAAACTATCATCCATCGCGACTTCACTCGGTCTCCCATCGCCATCACCCGCACACGCACATATCCACAGCGCTCGCGTCCCAACACGGGTCATTCTTTCTATGTGCTTTCAGTTCTTTCCTTTTACATACACACTTTACTTGCATACACATGTCGAGACATACTAATGTGCTGGAAGATGTTGCTTACATGTATAATGCCTTGGTTTTCATTGATGCTGTTTAATATTGCCATAATGACTGTGATTCGTTCAATTTTAATGCGTCAAGTCTTGAACCCGGAGAATCTATCCGTATATTAGACATGTGTAGCACCTTTGAACCCTCCGTACATGTTCGGTTCTCTATCCCTGCCGTACCTATCCGCGTCTCATTGACGCGCCCGCTCCGTATTAAAGACTTCGGGCTGCGACGCATCATTGCGGCGACGCATCACCACTCGGCACCCGGAGCAGCCATGCCAGAGGCTCCCGTTCCGTTCATTCTCTCCACATTCTCCAGCCGTACGAGTCCCGAAGACCGAGACCTGTAGGGCTGTTGGCTCCGCGGTGGCCGTCTTTAATATCAGATCTTGTCAAGATCCGTCTTGAAAACCCGGGGAATTGAATTTGTGGACCATCTGTACATGCTACTATAAACGTCACATCACCTTAATCTGGGGTCCAAGAAGCCAATTTTAGGTTTATTTATATCCGAAGTACTAAATTTACTATATAAAAAAATCCAAAAAAAAATAATATATATATATATATATATAAATTCGAAGTAACATACCAGTAAGTGACAAACATTCGCTGAGTTTGGATAAGAAAAAGGACCCGAAATATGCCTTGAAAATCTAAAGGATCTTCAAATTGAATAGATTTAAAACAAGATCAAAGTCCAGAACAGGTTGGAAAACCAACTTCAAAGAGACCTGTTGTATGAACCAGACCCCGAGAACTCCGCGCTAGATTTGCCGACTGAGCAACCGGGAAAAGCCAGAGCAGACGTGATGATATGGACGCACTCAAGGATCGCAAACCGGGGAGACTCAAACTACCTGAAAACAGTACTGATTCTGAACTGCGTAATCCTCCAATCATTAAATCGCTTTGATCAGAGATTTTGTATACTTCATGCAAGAGAAAAATATAGGAACCGAAATAAATATACAAGGCGGAAAGCTTGTGGTGCGGCCAGGGCAGAAACGAGAGCATAATAACGCGCAAGTGATTTGGGAATTGCAAGAGCGCAAGCGCGAAGAGGCCCCGTTGGTTTTATTACTTTGCTGGGGGGGAAAGCGGCCCATTAATGATGCAAGCGCGCCAGGGGGTCGATTTTATTTTTTAATGCACAGCTTGGTAACTCAATTTTGCTGTATCCGGTTAGCGCAGAATCGCGTTGCTAGCTGCGAGTGATCTGGGATCAGAGCTCTGACGCGCGAAAAGTACTTAACCTCTACGTCCCCCGCCAGCATTTATCTCTTCCACTTCTCATCCACCAATCGTCATCACAACCAAGCCTTTCGACACTCTCTTCCATCTCACAGTCTTTCAGACTCACAACTCCCTTTTTAACCACCACTCCCCCAAACCATAACTCTTTCAAAATGACTGGCGGCGGCAAGTCTGGCGGCAAGGCCTCTGGCTCCAAGAACGCGCAATCGTAAGTATCTCCTTTCTCGTTTGACGCGCCTATCAAGTCGCGTCATCATCTGTTTGATCTGTAACGCTAACAACTTTGTCAAGGCGTTCCTCCAAGGCTGGTCTCGCTTTCCCTGTCGGTCGTGTCCACCGCCTCCTCCGAAAGGGCAACTACGCTCAGCGTGTCGGTGCTGGTGCCCCTGTTTACCTCGCTGCCGTCCTCGAGTACCTCGCTGCCGAAATCCTCGAGTTGGCTGGTAACGCTGCCCGCGACAACAAGAAGACCCGTATCATTCCCCGTCATCTTCAGCTCGCCATCCGAAACGATGAGGAGTTGAACAAGCTTTTGGGTCACGTCACCATCGCCCAGGGTGGTGTTCTCCCCAACATTCACCAGAGTAAGTTGCATACTTGGCTCGGCATTCTTCTGTTACTAACTCTTCCTCTAGACCTTTTGCCCAAGAAGACTGGCAAGACTGGCAAGACCTCCAGCATGGAGCTGTAATCGGGTCTTTTTGGTTCTGTTTTTCCATGCGATGGCAGGTTGTTTCGGTTGTCATGACAAAGGGGTCACGGTTTAAGGGTTTACACGGTTGCTTTTCATCAGTTTATTCGCGCGTTAGGGTTGTACAATAATCCCCCACGGCTATGGTCATGAAATAAGAATACTTCTAAGATCAACTTTATGCTTTCTATGATCTCTGTTTGATAAATTAAAACAATACCCAGTGCTGTGTTACCAGAACTGAATATCCGTTGGACATTGTCTTTCTTAATTATGTATCTTGCCCCTGATCGAATTGGCGGTACGAGTTCTCCTGTTGGAGAACAGAGCACGTTAGCAAGTGGAGTAGCTAAGAGTTTATGGCACTCTTACTACAACAGTATTAACTAACAGGTAGCTAATCGATTATAGGTTCGTTGACTAAATTTCATTTGATTGATACTATAATCCTTGCGTTGAGAAGACCCATATCCTCTATATACACATGTCTCCTTATACGACCCGAATAAATCCTCAATTTTAATGTCGGTTAACAGGGTGTGGAGGGGCTGTTGATATATTAGTTTCCGTTGTGCGCGTGGTTCGGATGTGCTGGGCATAAACTCACGGTCGAGAACAGGCGATGGGAGGTTTCGCTCGTACTTCGAACCTGCACATTGATGTCAGTGATGGCTCGAGGTTGGTTACATTTGCTGGAAAACTCACCCCCAGGAGCTGTCGGGGGAGTGTAAGGGTCCGGGTGTTTCCAGCTCTCTAGCAGCTTCTCGGTCTCCGTCAACAGAGCCTGTCCAACAAATTAGCTCTTCAATTCCTTTCCAATTTATCAAGATAAGCCAACCCTTTGATGCCTAGGATCAGTGACATTGCGATTGGCCTCGAATAGTGAGCGAATATAGAGAGCCTGGCCACGCCACAAATGTCGATGAACAGCCCAGTCTAGCGCCAGCTTCAGCGACCGACGGTAGAGAGACCTAGATTTAACAGCAGTTAACAAATGTAGCTCAGGAGACCTAGCAATGGTCGGGCGGACGGTTTGGGAGGTGATTACTGACAAGGCAGCCCATCGCGTCGACATGGTTAATGAGGTGGTGAGAGTACGCGTGACCGGCTCTAGTCGAGACAGGCTCCTCACTGTCAAACAATTGATCGGCGGTCGTGGGAAAATACACTGGCTGACGTTCGCTTCAGTGTTATGTTGGTATGCCGGCTGTCTAGATTTATGTTGAGATGTTATGGATGATTGCAATAGGTAATGGCAGCAGAGATTAGATGCCTGGATGCCTTATCCCGATATTTTACCGAGAAATCCACTTACCCTATAGTGAAATCTAAACAATATTTAAAAATAAATTTAAATGAGTTATATTATTTATATTTTTACTATTAAAACTACTATTAAGATTATTACTTACTATAAGTTATTTAGTCTTATATTTATTTTAATAATTATTAATGTGTTTTTATTTTTTAATAGCTAATGCTTTAAAAAGGGCTGTAATATATTTAATAAGCGAGCGGATTAGATAAGCGAGCAGATTAAAAATCCCTTACCTTATAACATTTTAATATAGTCAGAGATATCTTAACTATTAGTTATACTATAACCTTTAAATGAAAGTAAAATTACTCTTGCCCTTTAAGCTATTTAAAATAACCTAAAATTAAGTATATAATAGGCAGTAACTATCTACTAGGTGCCTTTTATAACCTTATATTAATACTAAAATGGCATATAATTGCAATGTAATATAATACTAAATTTATAGTGACTATTTAATTAGGAAAAGAATATAATAGTCTAATTTCTCTTTAACTTAGATTTATAAGGATTCCCCTTATAATTATATTTTATTAAAGAAATAGCTAATTTTTTACTTATAGATTATAATATATTACTTATTAATATATATTAGGCATATGACTTTATTAAGTAGTAACTAGAGCTAAAAAAAATATATTTTAGAGGTATGATTATTAGAGAGCTAAATATTAAAATCTAATTATTATTTCTAGTTAATTTTAGCTTATAGAGAATATAATTATAAAGTATAATATTTAATTTAATAGTAACTAGAATATTAATAAGAATGGCTTTATAATAGGTATTATATAGTTAAGAATAGTTATTATAAATATAAAAATAAAAAAAAGATTAAAATTAATATAGCTAGGAAACAATAAATAGATTATTATAATTTAAGTAATTAATATTAAAGGTTTATTAATTTTACTATTTATTATTAATATAGGCTAATATTACCTTATAAATTAATATTAAAAGTTTAACCTTTTAGGCAATTAGGCTATTATATTAAGCTAAATAAATAAACTAATAATTAGCTTAATTTTAATTAATTAAAGTATTTTAATAAATCTATAGTTAAATAATTAATTAATTCTTATTGCCTTTTATTTTTTAATAATTATAAAAGTTTTTATTTTATTAAATATAAGAGATATTATAATAATAATAAGATTATTATACTCTATATGCCTACTTATATCTCTTATTTACTTTAATCTCTTAATATTAAGTACTTTAAGCTATTAAAAAAGGTATATAATTAAGAGATAAAGTATTTAATTAAATACTCTATAACCTATATTTTTAAAACTAAGTTCTTTAATGCCTTTTATATTACTTTTAAAGCTACTTTTATTAAAAGTAATATATAAGGAGTTTATAGAGGGGCTAGGCTTATCCCTTTTAACCTAGATTATATTATCTTAAAGCTTAATATATAGATATAGACTCTAATGCCTCTAGTAGAAGTAGCTAAGCCTTTTACCCCTTAGACTTTAAAGACTTTAATAATAGCTAATAAGGCCTAGTTTAAAATTAAATACCTTAAGAGTTAAATTAAAAGGCACTATAATAGCTCCCTAGAGTTAATTATTAAGGCTATCTAGTCTCTTATTAAGGTAATAAAGAGAATAATATATAAAATTACCCTTATAAGAAATAAAATCTAAAACCTTTAAGAGGAAAATAAGAAGCTAAGCTAGCGCTAAAGGTTAAAAAAAATAGAGTAATAAAAGGAGATATTATAACTATAGAGGAGGTATTATAAGTAATTAATTAGATAGATATTAATATATAGATAGTAAGTAAATTATTAAAAAGTAATAGTTAAGGAAGGTTACTTAGACTAGGCATTTAATGATATAGTATATATAGTAAGACTAGGCATAATGCAAGGACCTATTAGATAGTTCTAGAGGCATCTAGAAAAAAGTATAGTAAGTAGTTATAATTGATTAGATAGATTATAGTAATCATATTATATAGATAATAAAAAGGGTTAAGATTTTTAATCTGCTTACTTGTCTAATCCGCTTGCTTATTAAGTATATTATACTTAAAAGTAGATTTAATAACTCTATAATATATAAATAGTAGTAATAATAATAATAATACTATAATGCTTAATATTAAATATTGAATAAATAATTTAAGAGAAAAGGAGGCTAAATAGTTTATATTAAGTACTATATTAAAGGGCTAAGGATATTAATAGTAAGCATATTTTAATAATATTATATTTAAAAAGTAATAAAGGCTAGGTTATAGATTTTAATATAATTACCTTTATGATTTAAAAGTTTAAGCTATTTTAAGTTAAATGATTATTAAAAGTCCTATAATAAGCAGTAGTCTTAATAATAGTCTTAATAGTAAAAATAATTATAATATAATTTGTTTTCTAATGGAAAAAGCTATTATATATAGAAGCTTCTTTTATTGTCTTGTTATTATAGAGTATAATTATTACTATACTAATTATTGTCTTCATAGGAAAGTTAAATATTGAGAAAAACTTAAGTTTAATTTATCAGGTTCTTAATCTATATATATTATTTAATTTTAAATTTATAAGAGAACATTAAAAAGACTTAAGTCTGGTATAAACTATAGAGTAAAAAAAAAACCAAAATTGTTTTTTCCCTTGCTTTAAAGTATAATTTAGAATTTTAATATCTTCGTATTATACTAAACTAATAAAGGCAATAACTAGGCAGGTATAATAGTTTAGCTATAAGGGTATAACTCTTATATAGATATAACTTTTATATTATAACCCAATGGATAATTATATAGATCCTATTATCTTTTACTAATTATAATATTAAGTACCTATATAAGTTTAATTAAATATGAGCAACTAGATTCTGGACTCTATAGCTTATACTATAAGTTATAGCTTATATTATAAGTTATATTATTACCCTAATATTTAGCTTAATAGCTATTAATAAAATATACTTACTTAAGTATACTTAACTTATTTTATTTCCCTAGTTAAAGATATTATTAAGGATACTTTATTACTCTCTAGTAGAGTAGATTGAGATAATAGGTCTATATATAATCTAGAATAATTATATAAACGTAATCTCTAGATTTAGGCCTGCTTTAATTTAATATTATTTATTACCCTAATAGAATCCTTATTTCTTAGTTACCTCTATATATAGCTATAAGAAAAACCTTCTCCTTAGTGTCTTATTATTAATTTAACTCTAGCTTCTTATATACCTTTATTAATATATTAAGCTCTTTATAGAGATAACCTCTCTTAGCCTTTTTTTCCTTTAGTGGAATAATTTAATAATTAAAGACAATTAGCCATATAATATCATTATATTTATATGGTTTAAGATCCTAGCTTATTAAAAAGGACTCCTTTATTAAACTAGAATCCCTTAATAATACTGTAAAGGCAGTTTTAATAGTCTTAAGTTTAAGATTATAATTATTATTATAATAGGATTTAATTCCTTTTATTAAGCTTTAGCGGCAGACTATCTATAATATAATTAGTGCTATAGATTAAAGGAGGGACTATAATTAATCAACTATATAAGTAAATACTTTAACTATCTTTGCTTTAATAGTATTAATATATCTTTAGATCTTATTAAATTAATAACTATAGGAGAAAGGAATAGCTACTATATATATAACTTAGCAGCTTTTTCTATATAACCCTTATTATAAAGTTTAATTATTGCCTTGATAGATATGTATATTCTTAGTAAAAAAGTATATTATGAAGAGAACCTTAATATGATATAATAAGTTTTTAATCTATATAGATATTCTATTAAATATTAAAGTTATTAAGAGGCTTAGACTTATATTTACTAGTAAAATATGGAAATAAATAAATAATCTATTTTATCTACTATGAAAATATATGTTATTTCATTATAGTTTATATTCTATGTTACGTTTCTGTTAATATAGCTTTTAAATAAATTTATCTACCCCTTAGAAAATCTAACTAGTATATATTGATAGTTCTTATTTATATAATATTATAAAAATATCAACTTTATAATATTTATAAATATTAATCATGCTTAATATATCATTATTATTAGTATTAAGTAGTGTACTACTGCTAACAATTGTCTTAGTAATTAATTTAATTAATTTACTCTATTAATAATATCCTTAAGCTATTTATAAAGTTATTAAGCTTTTAAATCATAAGAGCTTTAAGATATGCTATTTATTTTATTTTTATTTTGATAAATTATAACTAAAGTATTTAATAATATAGTTTATAAGTAAAGTAACTACTTAAGCAAGGTAGCTATAAATCCTTTATCTTAGATTAATATTACTAGATTAATTAACTCTTAACTAATATAAATATTATAGCCTTTAAAAGAAAGTTAGGTTTATCTTGCTCGTTAAGCCCTTGGAAATGATTTGAAACTAAGTATATAATATGCTACTGAGATAGATGATATTGAATAAAAAACTCTTAGTTACTAGAAGAATAGTAAATAATTATATTATAATATTATACTGATCTATGGAAACTATTAAATCAAGAGGAAAAGATAGTATTTAAATATACTATTGATATAAACTTATAAGGGCTACCTTGCTGAATCCCTACAATAAAGATATAGTAAATTAATTACTTACTGCTTATAATGTTTATCTATTAATAAATATTAGGCTATTATTTTTATTTAGTAATAGTTTTAACTTAGATTATATTATAGCTAGAGATATAACTATTAGTGAGCCTTATATAAAGATATAATTAGTTTTAATAC